GGACTTTGTACAATCCTGACTCTTAGGCTGTGGGTCTCTGGATCAGGGGTGTCGTCATGGGTGCACACAAATGGTCTAATATCAGGACCTGAATTGAATGCCTGGGTGTCACTCCAGCACAAATTATTGCAATAATAATACAACTGGATATATTGCTTATTTTCTAATCTGCTTCTTGCTGTGCTATGGCTCCTTTTCCTCCCTCTGCCTTCTTGCTTCACCCCCGAAAAAGCCCAGCCCTGAGCAGAACCGTATCATTCTGAGGTCTAGTGGATGAGATGCTGGGAAGCGCAAGGGAAGGAGGAATTCTTCCTTCTCCATCCAGGGTGAGTACAGCTACAAGAACTACCTTCACACATATACTGCAGAGAGGAGTTGTTACTGATGGCTGAATAAAAGGTAAGCAAGCTGCAAAACTGCTTTTATTACAATATAACACAGAAACAGAACCACCAGAACAAGTCTGTTTTTCTGCTTCTACAACATCATGTGGCTTCTTTACCCGACAGCATCTTTTGTCCAGAATTAATCCAAATGACACTTAATGACACAACATGATGTGGCACCAGTGTTTTTTATATTTTGGTACAAAACCAGCACTCCACTGGCAATCTTTTCACAGCTGCAGGGAGCATCCTGCAGTGAATGCTTTCATCATTCAAAGACATGTATTCATAAGTCTGTTTAATTAATTAGAGTTCGTCACCATTTCTTCTGAAGTGTATTGCTGCTTTATTAAAGGAGGTTGGCCGTATGCTTAGATCAATACAAACAAATGAAAGAGAAAGCAGACAGTGGTTTAGGAGATAAACTCCTACAGCTGAGATAAACTCCTTTATTTCTTAGAAAATCCACTGATCCTGACATGATCAACAGGTCTTCCATATTTCCAAGTATGCTATTATGATCACATATCTATCACTCTTTGTTCATGACCTCAGAGGATTTGGAGGAACAATTTTCTTCCTAAGACGATATAAAATTTAGCCTTTGTAACATCAGGTAAAGAGAAAGAGCAAGAAGATACTGACCTTTTGGCAATAACCTCATAATATCAGGTTATAAGCCAAGATTTGCAGTACAATTTTCACCTCTTAACAGATTTTGATTACATCTGCTGAACATAATCTCTAGGTTGAGAATAGACTGTTATTAGTAGAGTCTATAGACTGCATTAACCACATATAATTTATAATATGCTGAAATGAGACTGGCTGGGGTTTTTTTTTTATGTTTTGTCACTTTGGAGGGAAAATAGTCAAATAGTCTAATGCGTCTGTTAACAGTATTATCTATATCTGTGTAAAAAAGATAGAGGTGTGTCCGAACAGGTAGCAAACTGTTCAGAGACAGCCTGAAAACACTTTAAACTGTTTTTGATGGTGTTTTAGTGTAAGAAAAGACCATTCCTTAATTTGGGTTTGCCTTTTCAACCGGTGGTACAAAATTGGATGATACTTCATAAACTTATCTGTACTAACACACTTCACAGCTTTTATGAAAATAGTTCATTTTATAATATATAAACTCTGCAAGTCTCCGAATTCTCAAGTGATATGAAAAAAACTCCCTGCAACATGGACTTTATACGTGGCTTTAATTATCTGCAGTGCGTGTCACTTTTATTGAGGATGTTCCCAGGTGCCCGTTTGACTGGAAGTTCCCAGGGGGGATCACTGACAATCATTAGTCCTGGCAGAAGAAAGCCTGCTCTAGTGTGGCAGGTTCGTTTGGACTGAGGATCTCAACAAGCCACTGGGAGACAGTGTGCATTACAAGCTCAAAAAAAAGATCAGGCCTTAAAATGTCACCCAATTCTCCAATGCCTTGAGCCACCTGTAATTGCTTACTTCTGAGCACATGGCTTCCAAACTGTTTTATTACTAGACTGTTACACTCCGCAGAGGTAGAATTTACTTACCTTTCCCAGGTGAAACAAATGCCCAGAATAGTACCTAGCAAAGAATCAGGCAAAGTGTGCTCCTCTAAAAGAGCTTTACCTTCTTAAACTGCCATAAACTATTAACTGTGTTAACAGAAAAATTAATCTCACTTTTGTCACCATTTTTTTTTTCAGGCTGCTGAAAACAAGAGCCTTAGTGGCCTCGCACCCACGGTACGCAAGAATGTTTTTCATATGCTGCCATCTGTCGTTACCGTGTACCCATTTCATCGCTGCACTGTGCTCCTGGGGTTTTTATTCCAGCAGTAAGTACACCCTTTCCAAGAAGTCTGTTAAAAGTGCAGTTAAGTTGGAAGAACTGCTTTAATTCATCCATGCTCTGCCTGAGACAGCATGAAATGAGATTCTAACAAGTCTGCTCTCAATTGTGGCAACAGCCAAATTAGTGCTGTTTTTTCTCCCACTTAATTTACTTCAATAGTAAGTTTGTATCTTTATTCAGACCATAGCCAGAGCATTCATGTTCTTTTACAGCAAAACATACACACACATCACAACTTTGCATATATTTATACACACCAAAATTGTAAAGGATCGTGTCAGTGCATGAATACATTTACATATACTGCCCTACTTACTCAGACAGCTGTTTCAGAAAATGTATATTTAGTTACAGTTTGCATATATGTAAGCTATGGATTTGAGTCCAAAATCTGTTCAGTTAGCACCTTGTTCCCTAAATCTGTATTATAAAAAAGAGAACGTAGTGTTTCAGAAGCTGTCAGGAAAGTAGAACAATTTGTGTGTAATTGAATAAGGGGTGATCACCGTGCGTCAAAGAGCAATCCTAAAGCAGCCAGGCACGTGTGGCACTCAGATACACAGTGACAAACCGGTTGGGAAGATGCTAAAAACAACCTTCAGGCTAAAGGTATTTAACACCTGTGCACATGCCTTGCCTGAAAGGGAATATCTGGCCTTGAATACTCGCCCATAATTCAGTAGACCTAGGCCAATTCCTAGCTCTCTTACTTATTTTCTCTACAATCTGGGCCAGCTCCCTTAAGCTCATCTGCCCAGCAGAGCTAATTAAGTTCCTTTCTCTCCTGCCTCTCTGTCTCTCCTGCCTATTTCATTTGCAATATCTATAGGCAGAGATGTTTCTGTGTACATACTGCCATACAGGCTCATTACTATTTTGGGCTTGGCATCATCTGAATGTGACTTAAATGTTTCTAGATCTAAGCTGACCAGGGAAAAGCTTCACACCTTCAGGGCCTAAAGCAGCATGTCCCCCCTGGACCTGGAATCATCACAGACAGCAAGAGGCACCATCCAGGACCACATCTGCCTGGACAAACGTCTCATAGTTAAAAAAGTTGACCGTACAAGCAAAGGACAGTATTTCTGTGTCCAGAGAGAGAAAAATAAACATGGCTTTAAAGTGGAAGTGGTGACACTTAAACACCACGTGAAAGCAGCCTGAAATCTGTGCTTGTTCCAGCAGGTTAGCTAAGAAAGTAAGTACATGGGATTCCCAAGTCTCTGAAGAGCAGAAACCTTTACACAGCAACAAGCTATTCAGCCTGAGCCCTCTACAGAATTCCAGTTCCTGGTTATAAACATTTGCATTGGAGGAAAAAAAAAAAAAAGGATGTTGTGGACTAATTTTTCAGAACTCGTTCACTGTGTATGATTGCTTTTTAGTCAGTTTGATGCTGTAATGCACTGAAGCTTGTTTCCACTGGTCACCATGGATTTTTATATTCAAAATACAGGCTATATTCCTATATTCCACAAACTATTTCTATATTCTTACTTCATGTACTGTGGAAATCTAGGGGCAATATAATTCCACAAGAAAAACTATACACAGCCATCTTGAAACTGGCTGCGGATATTGTTCAATACATTTGAAGTAGAATATATGCAATAACCTTCTTTCACTTGTATCTCTTGAGGTTGTCACATGCAAAACAACAACAAAAAATCATACAGTATCAGGGTTTATTTGTACACTTGATTAATCTTCTAGTTTTCCTCTGTTTCCATCTTTTGGTGATTTATTACCCTTACTTATCCAAAATCCACTATAAATGTAAAAATTAAATTTTGGGTCTAAAAACATTAAAACATCTCAGTTTAAAAAAAATAAAATTCCTTCCAAGACACTTGTAGTAAGCTTTGTTGACGCTGCCTTTAAGAGTGACAGTAGAGTTGCATAAGTCAATTAACACACTTGGAAGCTTTCTCAGTATAGTGAAGCTTCAGTAACAAAGATGTCAAAGAACAGCTTTGAAAGAACTAAGAGGACTTAAACGCAACCATTTGGCTCAGGTACTTCAACAGAACATATCTAGAGCATTCAGAAATCTGTGAGTGCTTGTGAATATCTACCCACCAGCTCTCACAGAGGAACCATCTCATTGCACTCAACAGAATTACTCCTGCACGTATTAGTAAGTTCTGGGCCTTGAGTTTTAAGCAACAGCCTAAGAGAAGGAAGAAAGAGCCAGCTGCTGTTAGTGCAAATCTGGCATGTTTTAAATTTTTTAAGCAGTAGGTAGCAGAAAACATGCTAGCATACTTAATTCACTATTCCTCCTAAAAAATAGTGAAAATTAGTTAGAAATAATTCTTTAATTTCAGCTGTTGCTATGGTTGTGTGCAAGTTGAAATGCTGGTGTGCTGAGAAGCACACGAATGCATGTATTTTGCTAACTTTCCAAGTGAGCTGACATCCTTTCAGTAGTATGGTTGTAATATAAACCAGTATCCAGAACTATCCTCTGGTCCTTCAAGTGTCAGGTTCAGTTCAGACCAGAGTCCATATTGTTGGCAGCTCTAACAGACCCTCTTCATGCATTCTGGATGTATATAGCACAAACACAGCAACTGAGTCAGCATCCAGCACTTGCACAGGAGTGCCACATCCCACATCAGGATGTTTGCACACCAACTCTGTTGTAGATGAACTCTCAATGTCATTTTTCAGTCTCAGATACCAAGGCATTTGTTTCTTTCTTTGTATCTTGAGAGATACTATTTTTTATTTAAAAGACAATACAAAGCAACTGTAAGCTGCTTTTTACCATAAGGAGGAAAAAAAAAAAAAGAAGTATTATAGAAGATTCATATCACAATGTTTAGAAATACCAATTAATATATCAAAATGGCAGATGAGACCAAAAAGCAGTCATCAGACCGAGTGTAACACCAAAGCATGAAGTTAAGCAGGAAGGAGACTAGTGACAATGGGGTTTGCACAGGCACTCCCTGTGCAAATTAGTGTTCCCGGTAAAGCGAGGTCTGTGACAGAGCCAGGCACACACACCGAGCAGGGGTGTGCACAGGCGAGCATTTCAAATCAATGAGCACCCACGGATGCAGCTCACATTGTGAATGGCAGAGCACCAGCATTCAGAGGTTGTCACCCAACAGAAATCTGTTTCAATTTTGTAGCTAGACCTCCAATAAAGAAGGCAGCAGCTCAGGATAAGTCTATCCCAAGACTGCACACTGCTCTAGAACAGCTTTTACTTGTCTGCTGAAGTGATCCACCCCTCAGTTTTTTCACAGCTTTCCCACATGGCCCTTTTTCCTGAACCCAGGTTTTTTTACTGAAAACGTTCTTGGACAGGAAATCTTTGGCTTGGCTCCAACTGAATGCTTAATTATTTAGAAATCAAAGTACATCCAATAATGCCATAACACTGATTTACAATCAAATAATAAACATTTGCACAAATGAAATAATTATAGTAACATCCTGTAAAACTTACAGACTGAATTGCGAAATCAAAATTTCTCAGATGAAATGATGACATTAAACGTATAATTTAAAGATCAGCAAGATATCAAATTATTATTTCTCCCTATAACAAGTCATCTTTTTTTTTTTCTCCTAGTTACAAGTGCAGTTTTGATGCCACGACAACAAAGTAACTAAATCAGCAAGTCTAAATACAACCTTAAGATAACAAATGTTACCTTCAGCAAATAAACCTTCTCAAGTTTCTCAAGCCATCCTGATACAAAGCAGCCTTAGAGGACATCAGCCAAGCCTGCACACTACCGAAGTTCCACAACTGCATGTAAGAGATGGCACAGTTCTGAATGTCCAAGCTGGGACTACCTTGCAACCGTGATTTTTTTTTGTGTGTGTGTGTGTTAGAATTGGTCTGAGCACAAGCCTCAATACTGAAGTGCTAGACATGAAAGAGAGCCTTTCATACATGAAACCACGGGGAAAAACTTCCAAAAGGCCTGTTTTTGCCTTCCTTTTAAAGACAAGGGATCTAAGCAATACACTTAAGAACTTGTGTATTTAAAAATGTAGAAAGGCACAGCAGAGTTGGTCATGTTTGTTGCATCCACAAAAACAGAAGTTTATTTGCATAAGCAAAATCTATTTTGGATATTTATTTATTATGAATGAAAACTGCATACTCACAATTTAAATAACAAGTTCACTTGCCATTTAAACCTGCAGTCTTACTAACTGCAACTGACAGTTTTACTCCCCAAATATTAAAGAACTTGAGGCTTCTTTCTGTTCTTTATGCAACTGTTTTGCCCTGTTTTTCAAATCCTCTGCCTTAGCATCATTCTTCTCAATGCCATCTCCCAGTTTGTACATTCGACTGGCATTGGCGCAAGCCCATATGTGACCCAGCTCACACCCTTTCAGCGAGTACTTCAAAGCATGGTTCATGTCCTTAGGGACCCCAGGTGCTCCTTGGAGGTATATCACACTGAGGTTGAAGCAGCTAGGAGCAAAATTGCCATCACAGGCTTTTGTGTAATAGTCTCTAGCGACAACGGGGTCAGGTTTGTCATCGTTTACTCTCCCATCATGGGCCAACAGCCCAACATTATGACACGCATTTACTGACTTCTTCCCACCCTTCTCACATGACTTCATAAAAGAGTTGTAGGCAGCTTTCAAATCTGGGTCGAGTCCACCTGTTGGCCAAGAAATCAAAAGATTACTGTAAGGACATGCTAAAACAGATGGGAGCTCTCTGCTTTGTAGCATGCTTCCCGGTGCACTTTGGGAAATACAGCATCCCTCTCTTTAGGTGCTACAGTCAAAATTTAGGACTTCAGAGACACTATCATTGTCTCAGTTACAAAGGTTTTGCTAATGTCTTCAAGTTAGGAAACCCTCCTCCACTCCTCACTTACCACAACAGCTTATGTAGACAAAAAAATACCAACCCCGAAACACAAAACACTCTTTCTACTACTACATCTATGGATTTCTTAGTAGCTTAAACTAGGCAAAGTATTCTTTTGCCAGTACACCTACACATAAACTGAGACTGTTGCTAGTTTTGAACTACAGTAAAAAATATCATGCTCCTTACTAGAATTGTCATTTGGAAGAAGCCTCACTACTTTAACTGCTTCCCATTACCGTACCAGCAGATACATTTTGGGCAGACTTGGGGCCTACTTATGTAAGCAGTGTTACCAGTCCGTAAGCTCATTCCTTCCTTACTTCCTCTAAAAAAGAACAGCGAGATGAGAAGAAATCCAACTTTTAAGAAGAGAACACACAGCAGCATTCAGCCCTGGATATACTTACCACTCATAGAGACATAATTACGAAAAAGTAACACGCGTGGTTAACCTAGAGTTGCTTCTTCAGAAGGAAGCAGTTTAGGGTTTTCCGCCCTTCCCCAGCTGTTACCACCCGACCACAAAAGGGGCAGGGCAGGCAGCTCCTCCTTCAAGGTCAGGAGGGAACGCAGGCGTTCAGCGCCCTTGCAAAAGCGGGAGCCGCCGCTGCCCGCAGGCATCGCCCGCCCTCCCCGCCCCGCCGCCCGTCCACGGGGGAGTTCCTCCGGCCGCAGAAGAACCGAGCCGCCGGCGGCTCGGGCGGGAAAGGGAAGCCACCGGCGGAGGGGGACCCGCGAGACAGCACCAGGACTGCCCGCCCCCGGCCCACCTTTGCCGATGGCCTGGTAGGCCCCCAGCCGGTAGCAGCTCTCGCTGTGGCCGTGGTCCTCGCAGTTGCCGCGGAGCACCCGCGCCGCCGCCGCGAAGTCCTTCCTCACGGCGTCCAGGTAGTCGGCGAGGCGCTGGCAGCCTGCAAGGCACCGGTGAGGGGGGTTTGAGGCTCCCGCCGGCCCCGGGGCGGCGGGCGGGGGTGGCGGTGGGGCCGCTTACCGTCCGGGTCCTTCTCCTTGAAGCACTGGTAGCTGTACTCGAGGTGCAGGTTCTCCAGGTAGCCCCTCACCTCCTCCTCGTCCTCGAAGTTGATGAGCCCGGCCATGCCGGAGCTGACGGCGCCTGCCGCGAGCGCCGAGCCGTCGATGGGCTGCCTGCCGCGAGCGCCGAGACATCGATGCGGCGGCGCCGCCTCCCGGCAGGGCTGAGCCCGCCGATTCACCGGTTTTAAGTAGTAATACATTTTTAGTATTTAACTTTCGGAGTTTTGCACCATTGGATACGTATTTCTGCCGTCTCATTCGGGGCGATCAGAGCCATAAGTTGAGGCGTGACTGTATACGTTAACACACTACGCATGGCCTAGAAGCCAGGGCGGCTTTACCAATTCCCCAACTTGTTGCCGGTGTGTTTTTTGTCTCGGATTAACAGCTAAATGATTTGCAACTCGATTTTAGAACGGGGGAGTTGCTGCTAGTGACTGTTATCTGCAACCGTCCCTTTTTGTGGAACAAGAGATCTTACAGATGCTTTTTGAAGAGATGGAACCCTGCGTCCCAGAGTCTCTGAGCGGGGCAGTGCCAGGGTCATTGAAAACACCCAGGGACCGGTAAGCAATTAACAACGTGCAACGAACCCCAGTTCTCTAGTTACGGATTAATTTAAGCCAGACGTGATGTTAGGGTACTTGTACAAAATACGGCACGCTATCCAATTCCAGCAGTTTTGAGCACAAAGTGAATTTTCTGAGAGTATAGCAGCACATTAGAAATTTGTGTGACAAACTGCTTAGAGTTAAAATTAATTTCAAAGAATATTTGAGAACGCTTTGTCCCAAATTATTTCAGTCACATAACACTGGCTTGTCAAGCTTTTGGGTAAATAAAACTCGGTTAAATCTTGTGCATAGGCTCCCATAGGAAGAAACCAGGTTGTTTATTAACAGCTGGAGCTAATTGCAAGAACCGTTGCCGGTGGGACTGATGGCACCACATGCCAGATGTGCTGCCGAGGTTACAACTCCTGTTGAAGTACTTCCTTAAAACTTTTCAGACTCTTCAGTATTTGGGTTGGAGTTAACACACATTGTCCACATGAAGCTAAAATCTTGTTTTCAAAACGTATCGACCAAAACCACCGACACGTCTGAGAAACAAGTAAGAAGAGATAGGTAGTTTGGCCCGTGCCGACTACTGCCTGAGAATTTTTGTGTCAAGTCCTCTGTTCTGGAGAAGGTCTTTGGAAGATGAACTGCTTTTGTACCAGCAATACTGTTTCTCTGAAAATCCAGCTTTGAAAAATTTCAGTTTGCACAGGTCCAGTAGAAACTCTTTTGAGTTTGCTGGTTTAAATCTTTGAGGAGTCTGTTCTTGCTGGGATTTTGCCTCTGCAGTTTCTGATGCTGACATTGAGTCAGTGCCAACTCAACCGTATGGCCTCTCCATACTAGGAGCGAAGTGGCGCAGCAAGGCTTCCCTTGCTGCTGTGGCTCTTGAGTACCGTGGGGCAGGCCAAGAATGGGCACTGAGAACAGGGATCTGTCTGTCGCTTGAAAGTTTTCACCGTCTGAGCCCAGGCAGGAGAAAGGAAGATAGTTCCCGTCATAAATCCAGATGGAATGAGAAAAAGAAGGCAAAGACAAGACATCTGGTGATACTCAGGTTGGAGTGAATTTGTTAATAGGTATGGAAAGAACAGCCTGGAAGCTCCAAAAGACATTAGGAGGTAGAAGAAACATGTAATGGACTGAGAATAACACTAGTAGCCCCTCCCTAATATAAGCTAATTTCTGTGCCCATAATTAAATGAATTATTTCTTCTAAGCAGATTAGATTTTGAAGTGGTTAAATTCAGAACACAAGGACTTTTGATTCTGTTGTTGTTGGATCCTGAGCATGTGATTTATTTTCTCTATGTCAACATCCTCATCTAAAGAATTGGGACTATAACTGACCTTTGTTATGTAGTCCCTAAACAGGCAAAATTGTGTTTGATCATACCTGTAGAATATTTTGTCATCTTGTAATGACGGAAACATAAATGATTTTAGCAATTGTTCCTTAGTGTTTATTTATGTGTTTTGCTGGTTTGCAAACAACTAGTATTCAAAGCTGCTGTACGTAGACTCAGCAATTCTTTAAAAGGTTTAACAGTAAACTCATTATAATTTCATTTTACTTGGATAGGGAAATTGTATCACTCTCTGTGTCCTGAAACAAAAAATAACTGTATTCTTTCTACCAACAATATATTATAGTATGTATTTGTCAGGAGACAGGTTTTCATCACTACTACTGTATCTGAAATTATTTTGTGTAAAAGCTTATGGCAAAGCTCCTCTCCAACTCTGAAGCAGGTGGCGAAACCTATTGTACTGCAGCAGATTGTTATTCATATTACCGGAATAAACTGGTTTGGGCAGGAAACATTTAAATAACAGAGGTTGATCTGTGAGCAGCAATTATAAAGCTGACATTGAATTCCTGGTTGTGAGAGGTTATCCAAAGACAAGGAACTGCTTCGGATCCTCAGCATCCTCTGCGTGGACAGACTCACCAGCGCTTCGGTGTTCCTTCATCCTTGCTCCGAGACGAAAGCAACCGGGCGTCAGGGAAGTTCTCGCACCCACCGTCACGCGCGACGCCAATGCCCGTTGCTGAGTAATAGACCCTTCTCCTGACGCTTCACGCTTTTCATCCTTAAACCTGGATTTTAAGGTTCCCACCCACCCGGAGAGCCGGCAGTGTGTGCCTGGCGCTGCCCCTTTAAGGGAGGCGGGCTCGGCGCTGCTGCCCGGCCGGCTGAGGCAGATTCACTTCCAGGTCGGGGGGGG